CTCTCTCTCCTCCTCTCTCTCTCTCTCTATATATATATATATATATATATATATTATTTTCTTTTCTTTTATTTGGATATTGGACTATCAACAGACAAACAGGAACAGAGTAGAATGAAAGCACAACTAAGGAAATTTATCATAAGGAGCAAAAACGAAATCGTAAACGAAATCGAAACAAGTTCTTCCCCTCCCCGGTGAATCCCCTGTTTGCATTAGTACAACACATCAAAGTTCATTAAATAGTTGTCAAGTTCCATGCTCATTGTATTCACGTGATGTGCACAAAGCGTCGGACAATGTCTTTCTTGGATCCCATACCATAGCCCTTCCTAAACCCATCTCAGACCATCGGCCCATCCTCCTTGAACACCCAGCCGGTCCTGAGAGGCTACAAACCATTCCGCTTTGAATTTTCTCGGCTAGAAGAGGCCGAAATCCATTCCTTGATCCCCTCTTGGTGGGATTCCCACTTTAACTAGGTCCTCATGTTGGGCTGGATGTCGCTTCCAACACAAATTGCAACTCTTCAAAGGCTCTCTGAAATCTCGGAACCGACAACTCCCTGGTAATTTTAGATCTTAGAAAGAAGCCACCCGAATTCTATCATGTAGTGGGATTAAATCAAGGGGGGCAGGGCCCTCACTTCCAATGAAAGCAACCAGAGAGTTGACCACAAACTCCTTTATCAGACAATCCTCCACAAGAAATAAAATTTCTAGTTTCTACGCTCTGAAGTCAAATGGCTCAAGGTGGAGAACTAAACACAACCCTTTTTCATAGATTCACCAACTGTAGGAGGCGACACAAAACCATAAGGAAAATTAAGGCGGGGGAACACTCCTTGATCAATCCCCTCTAGTGGAAAATGCAATTATCCATTTCTGCCCCTTTTGGTCCTCGGTAGACAATAAGGGACCTCTATTTCCTAGTCAATTCCCCTGACAATACCTGGCTAGAACGACCTTTCTCGGAGGATGAAATTCTCAAGACCATTAAAGATCTAGGCCACAATAGAGCTCCAGGCCATGATGCATTCCAAGTCACACTTTTCAACATCTTTTGAGATTTCTTGCGACTTGATGTCTTTCTTTCTTTGAGGAATTCCACACTAGTGCATCATCCACAAAGTGATGAATGCAACCTTCATTACTCTCATTCCCAAAATTGAAGGGGCAGAAGAACTTAAAAGACTTCCAACCAATTAGCCTCATAAATAGCTCCTATAAGATCCTCTCCAAGGTCCTAGCCTCTAGACTTAGAGAGGTTCTCAAATGGGTCATCTCCCCACACCAAGGGGCCTTTGTAAGACCACCAAATCCTTGATGGGGCCCTTGTCATGCCCATGAGTGCATACACTTAAGACACCTTTCCAAGGAGTCAGGAATTGTCATCAAGCTAGATTGGAAAAAGGCCTATGACAATGCCAATTGGATAATCCTAATTGGAACCTTGAGGAGAATGGGTTTTGGGGACCTTCGGAGAAGGTGGATCACAAGTTGCATCTCCAACTCCCCATTTCTTCATCCTCATAAATGGGTTTCCCAAAGGTTTCTTTTTTCATCGAGGGGGCTCCGACAAGGAGACCCACTGTCTCCCTTTCTCTTTGTTGTGGTGGGCAAAGTTTTCAATTGATCCATAGCTAGGTTATAAAACCATGGCTTAGTAGAGGGCTTTGAGATTGGGAACTATGGCCAAAATATGTCCCATCTTCAATATCCGGAGACACCCTCCTCTTTTGCAGCGCTAATCACCATGTCGGCACTCTACTGCCATTCCTCAGGTGCTTCGAGATGGCCACAAGTTTTAGGGTGAATATGGCCAAATAAAAAATGATAGGGGTGTCCATCGACACCCAGACCATCCTTAATCTGGCTAGTCGATGGGGTTGTGAAGCTAAAACTTTACCCTCAACCTGCTTGGGCCTTCCCCTTTGTATGGTAAGCCCCAATTCTACATTTGGAGTCGCATCATAGACAAGTTTGATAGGAAGCTCGTAGGCTGGAAAGGTCGTTTCCTATCCTCAGCCCTAAGACTAGCTCTCATCAAAGCTACTATATCAAACATCCCCATATTCCAGATGTCGTTTCACATGCCCTCCAAGGTAGTCAACCATTTGGAGCAGCTGATGCATCATTTCCTTTGGTGGGGTGAAGGGAATGGCAGGAAATACCACCTAATTTCTTGGGACAGAATTTGCTTGCCTAAACACATCAGGGTTTGGGAAGTAGCCTTAAAAAGAACAACATTACCCCCCGTCAGCAAGCGGTGGTGGTGCCTTGCTACCCAAGAGAACCAATTGTGGCAAGAAGTCGTTCGCCACAAATATCATCTTCATTCCTCGGATTGGTTGCTACCTTCCAAAGTGGACAGTCGCTCCTCTGGTGTTTGGAGATCCATACTTCATTGCATGACACCTTTCTAAAAAAACATCAGGCTCAGGCCATGGACTGGTAACCGTGTCAAGTTCTGGTTGGACCTTTGGGTTGGCAACACCAATCTAAAGGAGTACTTTCACAACCTTTTCCCCCTTGTTTGGAATGGCTAGGCCATAGTTGTTGATAATTTTTACACCTTGGGTTCCAATAGGGTTTGGAACCCAAATTTTAGGAGGCCCATTATGGACCATGAGCTGGAAGACTTCCCTGAATTGTCCTCACTTCTTGAATGTGTCTTCCTCCCCTCTATGGTTGAGGATAGAAAATCTGGGCACCAGCTGCTTCCGGCCTTTTCTCTCTCTCTTCATTTTACAATAAGCTCCTACTAGGTCCCACTCACCCTGCCCCACCCCCCTTCATCTCCTCGAGAGCCTGGTTCCCCTTTATCTCCCCTAAACTCCAAGTCTTCAGCTGGATTGCCCTAGCCGAGAGGGCACTCACTGTCAATCAACTTCAAGAAGGGGCATGCCTATTCCAAATAGAACTGTCATGTATCTAGCAGATGAGGAGACAAACCCCCACATCTTCATCCAATGTAGTTGTGCCAGAGACCTGTGGGGGGACATCCTACAACTTTTTAATTGGTAATGAGTGACTCTGAGGACACTTACTCACCTTGTCAGCTCCCTTCACTCTTTCCCTTGCCCTAAATCGGGCATCCTTCTGTGGCAGGCTTCCGTAGCTGCCACTTTGTGGCTTATATGGATTTAGCAGAACAGCAGAACCTTCAAAGGAGTATACACCTCACTCGAAACATTGAATGCAGGATCAAGGAGCTTGTCAGTTTTACTGGGACTGGCAAGCTATGCTCCATCTCAAACCAACTTTTCATTCCCCGAGCATCCCTTTGGAGAATCCCTGAGCCCTAGCCTAATCAAACTAAATTTTCGATTGTTGCTCCCTAGGCAACCCCAGTCCCATCCTGAATTGGTGGCATCTTTCGGGACCACGAAGAATGGACACTACTCTCCTATTCCAAACACATTGGCCATGCTGAATCCAACACCACAGGGAACCTTGCCCTCTTAGAAGTTCTCGAGATTTTCAAACAAAGTTGGGGAGGTTCCTTATAGTGGAGGGAGACTCCAAGAATGTCATCTCATGGGTATCTGGTTCTGTGGGATGCCCGTGCAGACTAGCACACTTCTTTGACGAAATTGCACACATTTGTAGGGCTATTCACGTCTTATAGAAGCATACATGCAGCAAAGTGAACAAAGTAGTAGACGAACTCGCGAAGGCAAGAGAAAACCGAGTCAAAGACCTACCCAGAATCTCTTTCGCTGTGTTTTGTGCTCTGGTTCCGATATTTTTGGGCTGAGTATGCATGGCTTTTGTGCCTATCATTGCAAGGCCCACCCCTAAAGGTTTCTGTACACTTCACACTCCTAAAGGTTTCTGTACTCTTCAACATGTGGTCATTACTTTTTGTATACTGTAAATCCGATTGTTCACCCCTAGCGGTTTTTTGTACATGTCATCCTGTGGGTGATCATTTTTTGTATACTGTACATCTTGTACACCTTTCCTCTTCTTTTTTTGAGAATTTTTACACTTTTCCTTTGATACAAAAGTTAACAGCTTCAGAGGAAAGAAGAAAAAGGAGGAAAAGAGAAAGAGAAACAGGAACGCAGAGAGAGAGTGGAGAGTTTGCCCCAAAAATACATTTCAAAAATTAAATCATCATCATCATCCTTTTCGTAACTTATTGGGGTTGGTTAAGTACAGAAATTAAATCCAAATTTAAAAACCTTCCTATTGACTCAGCAGAAATGGATTGGACTAGACCAAGGTAAATGCTTTTCCTACACACCATCCGGTTCTTAAAAACATATATGATATCATTGTCGTCATCATCCACCATCATCATCATTAACATCATCTTCATCATGATTATGACTTTCTTTGATTGAATTATTGGTTTTCCTGTGCTGCATTTTCAGGCTATAGAGTTTTTGATGCATAATGGTGCATCGGAGCCTCAGCCTCTGTCTATGCTAAGATAGCATAAGAACTCACTCGTGCTTACCCACATGAGAGGCACCCATATTGCTATTCGGGCAACACCAAATTCTGTTACTAAACGACTATGATTGGTCACACACCCACCACTCTTGCAGGGCATGAAAGAGGCTCCCAAAGTTGGTGCCGTTCATAACATCCCTGTAGGAGTAGGTATCAGGAAGATGAGCAGCAGCGAGCAGCTCTGCCTCAGCAAGCTTGCAACCATTCTGCATTTCCCTTTCTCCTCTAACCAGTCCCTAATAATGCTAATGATGATGACACAGCTTCAGCTGGACACTCCACAGACCCCCTACAAGATTAGGGCAAGGGAGAAACTCAACCTTTGCCCCCTCCTTTCCCCTGATGCTGATCAAACCCCGCCACTACCACCAACAACAACTGCTTTGGCAGCAGGACCTGCCGGCTTCCTCCTCCCTAATGAAGAGAGAGATTTTACTCCACCTACTAGTAGCAATGAAGGAGGAGATGGTCGGCCATGGCCTAAATTCATCACTGCTATCCCCACCACTTGCATCCTTCTTCAACTACCTGCCTCACATTACTTTTTCTTTTTTAAATACTTTCGTCATTACTATGATCATTATTGGTTTGAGCCCCTCACAAATCTGATGACTGAGGTGGTCATTCCTAGCTAAGATTGGCCTACACACTGTTCGCATATTGATTTGAAGCCATCCATCCATACCTTTTACTAATTAAGGGTTGCTTCAAAAACTCAAAGATCGTCTCTCCTCTGGTGAAGGGCTGGATAATGGGAGACGCACAATCTGGCTGCTGCTTTCCTGCCCTGCAACCTGGCCATTGCATGACATCATGATATTACATAGTTCTTTTGACCTAGTGATATCAGAGTTTGACCTTACATCACTTTTGATATCATATATATATTCATTTGTAGACTACAAATTAAGGCTGTAAGTGAATATGAAAAGACCAACATTTGCTTACCTGATCAGGAAAATAAAGCACGACACCAATATCATCCTTAGTCTAATTTTCTCAGTTACTGGGAGTAAACCGTTCAAGTGCACTCGACTCCCTAGTTTTCCACTGTCTTTCAGCAGCCCTCTTTCTGTCTGTCTTGCCATTTTGTATTCCTCTCCTTTGTATTGTCTGATGCCCTTCTCAACTACTGTTTTTGACCACCCAAAAGTATCAAACTACACATATTCCCTAACAAGGAATCACCCCATAAAGAATACTACATGACCTGTTCTAGACAATACTATCATGTTGGAAACATTAATATATGAACATGAAACAGTAAGGGAACTCTTATTTCAAAAACTGATGTGATGGACATTATTTGTAATTCTCTCCCCATCCTCCCCACACTCACTCCCCGAATTGTGCCAACCTTAACTGTCAGCCCAACTTTCCATGCTCTAAAAGAAACAAAGAAAAGAGGATCGCTACAAATCCCTCCGTGGAGGGAATGCACATGAAAAAAAAAATCATTCTATTTGAGCATAGGAAATGTAGAACACAAGTGTTACAATCATGATAATTTCTGTACACAATCCAATGGAGAGAGGAGGAGGAAGGGGGGAGGGGAGGTTAACAGGATGGGGAGTACCAGACAGTGGTGATAAAAAATCCCTTCCTCTTTCTTTGACTTTTTTATGCTTTTTCTTGCAAACAAGATGGGGGTAAGGAAGAGAGCATCAAGGAAAATGTGCGTGTAAACCTAAACCCCAACAGGAAGGCCGAAATTCTGAAAAGCTCTGAGTTCCCCTCCTAGGCCGGCTGTAATGACAACCAAGCCCCAAGCAGCCGCAGTCGCTGATCGAGCCTGCAACTCACTGCCCTCAAAGCATGATGATGATGATGGCTTATGCCTCCCCTGCCTGTGGACAAGCTTCTCCTCAGGCCACGTTGCTGCTGCTCCTCCTCTATCTGACAAGAGACGTGGGCTTTGAGCATGGCCATGAGGGGAAGATAATGGACTTCTACCCACCACCCCGTCGTTTGTGTGATTTAATAATTGTGGTGATCGGGGGGGGTCATCAAAGCGAGGGGCTCTGGGTGGAATCAGCAGAGGGGTTGGCTTCAACACAGATCGAGCACAAGAAGACAAAAGTGAAGAAGAAGAAGAAGAGGAAGAAGGCTTTGCAATGCCGGGCCAAGGGATGGCTGCAGAAACATCTCGACAGTGGAAGTGCTCATAGGAGCGGGTCATGCTCTTGCTTCTGCCAGTTCCAGGAGCTCGACAACTATTATCGTATCTCCACATGTACACATGAGAGTCCTCACTTGCACATATCAAGTACTTCCCATTGGCTGTGAAGGATGCTGAGATCTGGCTACTTGTATTGCGGAAACCTAAATATACAGAAAATGCACAAACTCAGCCTCAGCATTTGTTACACAAACCTTTTCCTGGAGTTCTATTTGAAGCAAGGGAGATAATTTTTGAAATTTAAAGTGAGCCATGTGCCATATTAACTTAATTTCTTTTCAGGTTTCTCAAGTGATTTTAGAAATAAATGCAAAATAATTCCATTAGTGCAATGTTTTTCATTCATGTTAAACTACAGTTTTGGGTCACCCAAATAATGAAGAAGCCTTTTGACCTTTGAAAACGAGCACCATGAATAAAGTGCATTAGCCAATCTTAAATTAAAGTTGTACTTGCCATCACAAATGCAACAAATGTAGCCCCTAGGAGTTCACATGCCTGAAGATACAATGCCTTAAGCACATTGAAATGCTAGCCTTTGGCTCTAGAAACCAATCTGGAGCCTAAACACAGCTACAAGAAACAGTAGATGAAAACATGGTACAATCTATAGTGGCAAGGATGCAAAGACATGGTAAGATGATGTAAATTAATTTTTAGGTTTATTGTCCAAAGGGGTTTTGTCTTTCCCAGCCGCAACCTGGATTCATCTGATCACATTGAAAGCATGAAGTTATTAAAGTTGGCAAAGAATGTGGTGAGGAGTAATATTAAGAACGTGCGGCAACAGGTCATAGTGGACAATGCTAGCAACTAGCAACAGGTCCAGAAAGAGGCTCTGGACCTCAGATCTCTATTGGATCTGTCTATTGCAATGCATCGACTTGATATTGCGAGGAATATGGCATCCACTCAATGTTCTACGAAATTCTGTAGTTAAGAGATGTTTAAGAGAGGTTTGAGAAACCAAATACAATAATAAAGTTCATGTCTTAATGATTTCTGGGTTGGCAACACTATGGACAAAGGAACTTGGATTTGCCAAACGCTACTTACCCCTCAAGTCAATAATTAAAGCATACCAACTTAAAAAAGATGCTGTTTGAAAGTGTGCATTTGTAAATATTCGCAACTTATCTATGAATAAAGAACCCAAACGCATCATTAGTATTATTACAAAAAAAAAAAACAATCAATAGAGTTCACAAATAATAAATCGTAGTGACTCATTAAAAGCCCTTAACAGTAAATCATAATAATATACATCGATATTTTGAAAGAAATCATTAGAAGCATAAAGCTTGAAATACGACACCATAGGAATCCATGAATGTATCCAGTTATCCACATAAGTGGTAAAGTACAACTAACTGCTAATGTATGCAATTTAAATGTCCTGGGATGAGGCCAGGAAAAGAATAGTATATCACAACAAACAGCTCTTTTGCATTTATAATCCTGATATGTTCATTGCAACACCCTTCATATGACTAGAATGTAACTAGCAGTAGTACCTTTGAACTTGTGAACAAGATCAACACCATCAAAAACCCGTATCCGAGAGTCAGCTGATGTAATCAACACTTCAGATGAATTTCCTGGGGCAAACTGCCAAACAACAATAATCAGCAAAGATGCACATGCATGCATGGATTTATCCAAAGATATGCACATGCATACAAAGGTGCATATATGTGTGTGGATACACACAAGCACATAATGCATTTCGAAAGGGGAGATGCTCTTCAAGATTAGCCTGCTAATCTAATTCCAAGATTACCTGGAAACCTGTAATCTTCTTGGAATGGGATCTCTTTTTCTTGCTCTGCACATCCAATTGGCTTTCCTGTTGCAACTTATTACCTGAAAGAATGAAAAGGATAAAAAAACACTGTCACATTGGAGATTAAAAAGATATTGAACAGCATCCTAAAGATTCTACCATTTCCTATACCAAGCATCAACCACATTATCAGTTTACTATAAAGTACAAAAACTGCATGAAAAGCCATAAAGCAGCAATGTTTACCTAAGTTCAGACAAACTGAGAATTGAAACTTAAAAAAAAAAGGGTAAATCAGTGAGGATTTGGTCACCTACCCTTTGGTGAGAATGGAGTCAGAGACTTCATCATAGGGCTCGTTGGCACTACTAAGGAATTACTATTTAACCTACATAAAACTAAAGAAGCTCAAAAGTCATATCTTCAATCTATAAGATCATTGTCAGATCATTGCTAGAAATATGGCCATGATCAAACATATATACAAAGGAGATGGTTTGCATTAGTTCCCTGAAAACTTACAGCAAAAGAGAATGTACAAAAAGTTGCACCCAGTAAGCAGACAAGTGGAGGTACACACTTCGCTTTTGCCATAAGCAAAGATAGGAAGGAAAAGAACAAAAAGAGAAGCAAGAAAAAGAAGAACCTCAGCATAACATCACAAGGGGAGAATGGAATTTCAAAGGGATCGGCAATAAGTGCTTGCTTCCTCTTTTCGCTATGCAACTCACCTACATTCTTTTCTTCCCATTTGTATGGAAGCACATCTCGGACTCAAACATCTAGAAAAGGTGGATTACTCCATGAGACCCAGCAACCTCCATAGTAATCCAATTTCCTGATGAGTCCAACCATGGACATTGAGGGAAGGCTTCCTCTTTTCGCTATGCAACTCACCTACATTCTTTTCTTCCATGTATGGAAGCACATCTCGGACTCAAACATCTAGAAAAGGCGGATTACTCCATGAGACCCAGCAACCTCCATAGTAATCCAATTTCCTGATGAGTCCAACCATGGACATTGAGGGAAGGCTTCCGAATTAGCTAAATGGCCTGGACAAAGTGCTGGATTAATCGTAGAACAGCAAGGAGAATGGAGATAAGATACCATCAAAGTTTTAGATTCAGCGCCCTATCTGGGTTGGCAACCATGGTACAAGAGTTTGTGGCACTCGTTCCTTCTCTAGTAACAATGTCCATCGTCCTAGCACCACAAAACTGCTTAGAACAACTAGAATCATCCTCCACCTTTAGTTCTTGGCTTTCTAGCTTCCACTTGCATCCAGGCCTTTTGCCTACTTTATATCTGATCCCCAGCTTGTCAACAAGTAACAAAGGAAGTGCTTAATGCCCTCCATCGGAAGAATAAATGGGACTTTATAGTTCTCCTGCTGGGTAAGAAGGCATCATCTCTACATAAAGTGAAGATGAAGCTAGTGGCCTTGTGGAGAAGTATGATATTGCATAGTGCGACAATCATTATTGGGTGTTCTCTATAGATTGGCTGAGACTATTTGCAAACCTACAGTGGCGTGGTAGTAGTTACCAGATTCCTTATTCTTATAATTGCCACAGTAGGTCATTTGTGGCCTCTCTGCCAACTTTACCTAAAGAATGCATTTCTCCATTTAAGAGAGAGAGAGGGGAAGGGGGGGAGCTACAGGGCATATGTCATATCATATCTATAGCTTGTTACCATCTTTGCATGGTATTCTGGTGTCCAAAAGGCAATAAACATTGATCTCCAGAAATTTTAGGATGTTATTAAATTGTGGGATAACGGCATAGTCCTTTTGAGTGTGTTCTCTTTGAAAGATGTGCCTCTAGGACAGTTGCTTTGTTTATTATGGTTTGGTTGTATTCCTTGAGAAACAATTACAGATGGTGCCTAGCATGAAGTATATGGGCCATACTGCTACTTCTGTCATATGGAAATACTTCTTCTTGAAAGCATGCACTTTGCAACACAAGGAGCTCATCTCTCTCTTTGAATCTCATGGACAGAAAAATATTGGATGGTCCAGGGGCCAGTTTATGAGAATACCCTTCACTGTGGGCCTTCTTTTCTTTGGTGCCACCCATTATTGTCAGCCATTTACCAGCCTTCCATACTGGTTTGTATTTTTTTTATTTTTATTCTTTTATATTTTAAAGATCCAGAGTTTAGCAGTCGCTCTTTGCTCTTTGCTCAACTGCCTTAGTAGAGAGAAGGCCTTTGCCCTACTGATTCGTATTCAGGCCTGATATTATACATTTCTGTATTATTGTGTAATAGGTCACGGGTGCCATGACAAGCTTCACCTTATTCAGTGTATTAGGCTTTCTTGTGCCATCTGTGCTTAGCCTTTGACTGTGGTCGCACAAAGATAGATAATCACCAACTCTTTTTCTAATAATTTGGGACTCTTTCAATTTATGGAAGAACAAAAAGCAGCCTGCTATTATAACAGCAGGCCTGCTTTTTCCCTCTTTAAAAAAATAAATAAATAAATAAGAAACAGACCTGCTGTTATAATATTCAATATGTGGCAAGATTATATGGTTCAATTCTCTCCATAAAAATCTATCTTTGGCTGATTCTTTAGCAGCAACAATATCAAATTGTTCTTCACTGGTGTGGCTTGAGTATGCAAAGGTTATGTAGTTGGGTTGTCACTTCATGAGGGGGATAAAAAATGTTCGATCAAGGCAATACAGTATGGAGTTGAAAATTGTTCAAACAAAATCATTTGTGAGTAAGATATCTAAGATTTCCAGTCAACATATGGTTTGAGACATGATCATGATAAATGTGAGTATTCTACCATTCCCCTGAGTGTATTGCCATGGAAGAAGGGCACAGTAGGCTTAATCAAGATGTCTCCAGAACAACTTATCAAAAGAAAAGAAAAAAAAAAGAAGAGAATTTGATTTCTTACAATCTCGTCCATCTTTTAAATCTGGTTATGTCAATTTTTAGGGGCAACTAGCAGTATATCTATTTTTATTTTAATGAAGTAAAACTATGGGGCTTATAAATAGGGATGCTAACACTTGCTATAAAAGAGGATAAATAATAAGCGTCTTCAGGAATAAGTATCATGCAAATGTAAATTATTTCCTCACATACATCAGGAAGCTTTCAAAATCTCCAATAATATAGAGAAAAATCACACAAGAAAAAGCGTCTGCATACAAATCATTCCAAGAAACATGGAACATATACATAGCCAATAATGATCACATAACATCTAAAACAAAAGGAAGAACAACTGCATTGGCAAAATATTAGTGATACATTTTCAACCACAAACCCGCCCAGGAAGAAGACTGGCATCATTGACAATATTATAAAGTACAGTAAACTTTTAACTGAAAGTTCAACAAAATAAAGATTGAGCACAAAATCTTAATTATTCTTTTGCTTAGAGGATCTAACATTGCAATAAAGATAATTAAACACCTCATACACAAGAAGAAAACTAGGACTAGAAGAAGAATGATTGCATTCAGCACTTAAGTACTACATTTAATAAAGCAACTAGTTATGATGTTGACATACAAAGATGGCAAATAAATACACTAAAAACAGAACCCAGCACGCAGGGAAGTAAAAGAATGTCACATATCACACCAGAAGTTCTGTATAAGCGGCAACTCCCCTTGTGTGAACCCACTAATGCACCCTAAACAAGCCAAGAAAAAGGCGATCATTTGCATTATACACATTTTTTTTTTCTTTTTATAATTAAACATGATACACATAATCAAAAGGAGGAGGAAAGAATAAAGAAGAGAACTGTCAACAGACCTCGCCATCTGGTGTATAGCAAGCAGCAGTGACCATCTCATGCAGATCACTCCAATCCACAACCTGACGATCTGGAATACTCCATATACGGACCTTGGAATCAAGTGACCCGCTAATAAAGTATTTATCATCATTAGGATTGAACTGAATGGAAGTCACTACCGCAAAGCAAAAAAAAAAGGCAATTAGACAATGAACCAAGTTAAATCATATGAAGAAGTAATAAAATACACCAAATCAGTTTTGACATAAAAGAAGCTCAATTGAGAGCAAAAAGCTGAATGAATCAAGTAAAAGAAACATCCAAAAACTAAGGGATCTAAAAGGACACAGTTTCACTTACCATAATCATTATGTGCGAATATTTTAATACAAGACTTGCTTGACATGTCCCACAGCCTGACTGTCTTGTCCATCGAAGATGAAAGCAAAAACTGAAAATTTAACAATGCATCGCTAAGTGATCAAGTTCAGCAGCTACAGCATCAATTACTATGGGAAAGGAAAAATTTGTATGCAAATCATCCAATACAAAAAGCAATACTTAGCATAAACATAAAATGCTGTGTGACTAGGTTATGAGCATATGGCACTTTGCTTACATGCATCTCTTTTGTGTGTTTATTTGTGTGCGTTTCAGTAGGTAGATGGGTATGACATGCATAGTTGGATGAATCCACAAACACACGCATGGATAGAGTAATGTGTGTTTGTTCGTGTGAGCATGCACACTCGTGTGTGTGTGTGTGTGTGTGAGAGAGAGAGAGAGAGAGTAAGAGAGTTTCATAAATTTATCCAACACAGAAGATCTTATAAAGATTTTTTGCTTTTTAATGCATAATAATCTCATAAAGAGAATCATAATTAATATAGCACTCTTGAAATTACAAAAAAGGTAATGACACTTATGGTCTCATATCCTATTCTAATCCTATTTACACCCATATTTGCAGTCTTAGGCCATGCACAATCTCTTACGGCATATGGCTACGTAAACAACGGTAAAATTTTGACACTATAGCTTGTGCATTTCCAGTACACACCCCCTACCCCTCCCTCGCTTAAAGATGCAGAACCATGATGGTCAGTTAGGATAGTATATAGTTCAAATTTCAAACAATTAACTCAGGACATAAAGTGAACAAGACAAAACACTAAAACGAGACTTTACAGTCCATATAAAAGCCCTGAATAAACTGAAAGGTACGATATAATAGAATTGAGACTGATAGCAGGTCAAGACTACGGCCTCCTCCATGGAAGAATTCAACAAAGCCCAAGCTCAAGCTTTGCATTCTTCACCAGCACTTGCCAAATGCGTCACTCATCTTGCTCCTGAGGTAAGGAGTCTTCTATGTTCTCTAATTACTATTGTGTCAAGAGTTTAGAATTGCTTAGGATTTCATTGAACGCAACTTCTTCAGGCTCTAGGGCTTCTTTCGTCGATTGAGACTCTCCTGCTTCAAGTATATGGGAATATCCAAAAGGAAATCTATTATCAAATACCAACAGGAGATTTTCAATATTTATAACAGGTTAAAAACATCTTAAAGAAATTATTTCAACTCTGCCGTGTTCTATCAGTTTTGCTCCAACATACATGGCATAAAGCAAACTCTGTGGACCTCCTTGCTCGTGAAAGGCTCACCCTTCCCTCACTTTCAGTGACCCAGCACCACCATCCCATCCACCATAAATCACCAATTTTCTATAGACTCCCTTGTACAAAATTTGGGTACAAAATTTTGTAACTAATATCCCATAATTTTGTTCTTACCACACATAGCAATTGTACAAGTTTACATTATAAATACAAAGCTTACATTATAAATACAAAGAGTTTATCCAAGAGAATGTTTACAACTGAGTTAATGCTCACAAATAGTCATAGGCACATTGCTGTCATTGATGCTACGAGGTAAAGTCTTTGTTTTTTAATGAGGCAAAGTCATTGTTTAAACAAGGATAATTGATCTTGCGTAGTGTTGGCAAACTGTCTGCAATAACCAATGACTGAATTGCAACAGAAATAATAGCAGGAGATTCTTCAAAGATAACATTTAGATGAGCTGCTCCAAATACCTATGAGCTTTCAGGTGATTCTATGACAAGTAAACTAGCAAGAGGTGGAGGTTTGACACCTCTCGATGTTTCTCTAGGACAGAACCCTTTTATGTACAAAGGTGTATTTGAATGTGACTGTTGATTCTGTAATATTTTGCTCACTACAGATTTTAAGGCACCTTTAATTCAGGGAAGGCTTCATTGGTGACAAAATAACTCAAGAAAGATGCATTCCTTCCAAGTGTTAGTAAAAAAGGATCTATAACAAATATTTAATAATTGTCTCCTCCAATAATGCAATAACAGAGCTAACTTTGTATGTTGTTAAGAAGCGTTCTACATAAGCTTTCTAACAGATTGAACTGCAGATAATTTCTTTTACCATATCAGAAAGATAAAGCAATTGTCAGAAGGGAGTACCATGTCTAGTAACTCAGAAATGAGAGCTATAACCTTAGTATTATTGGGATTGGTACTTCCATCTTAGTTATGAATTTTGAACCACTGTTTGCCAAGTGTTCAGTTGGATTGTCCTGGCTGAAAGAGTTCTTACCGTTGACCAACTCCAAAGAAGGGGAGTACCCGTACCAAATAGATGCGTAATGTGTAATGTGCGTGGCGGCCGAAGAAACCATCGCCCACCTCTTCAGCCACTGAGGGGTGGCTAGGGACCTCTGGAGACACATCTTACGGCTTTTCAACTAGGCCTGGGTGACTCCTAGGTCTGTCCCCCAACTTTTCACTTCTTTACACCCCCTCCCTTGGGCAAAATCAGGAATTATTCTATGTCGTGCATCCCTTGCTGCTGCACTGTGGGTGATTTGGACCGAGCAGAATAACAGGACATTCCGCGGAGAGTTTGTCATACTAGAGGCATTGAAGCACCAGGTGAAAGAGCTTGTTATTTCCTGGGCCAAAAACAACAACCTCTTCATATACTTCTCCCACATGGACTTTCATCAAAATAGGGAGATCATGCTGAAGCTTAGGCCCACCCATATTCCCCGGGGCTCTCTTTGGAGACCCCCCGAGCTCGGACACATAAAAGTCAACTTTGACAGCTGTTCCCTTGGCAACTTGGGCCCAGCTGGGATTGGGGGTATCTTTTGGAACCACAAAGGACATATTCTCTTCTCATGCTCCAAGTTCATCGGCCATGCTGACTCCACTACCGCAGAGAACCTTGCCCTCCTAGAAGGCCTCAAGAACTTAGTACTTGGGGCACTACCCTCACCATTGAAGGTTATTCCAGAAACATAATATCTTGGGCATCCTGTCAAAGTATGGTAGGGACAACTTGGTGCATCACAATCAGGTTCTGCCCACTGTCCCGTGGAGATTTGTTCACTTTTTGGACGAAATTTTGCAACTTTTTAGGAATGTGCACATCACATGGAAGCATATATGGTGCCTAGGGGATGCAGCAGCAGACCCACATGCTAGAGAAAGAGCTAGAAGCCATGCAGCCCCTACTGGAACAACTTTTGCACCTTTTTGAGCTTTTGGTTCCATTTTTCGTAAATCACTAATTGAGATGTATAGCTTCTGTGAATATCAAGCCCCTCTTGTATCTACTTTAGTAATGCTGATTCTAAGTGGGTCTCTTGGTCACTGTCCCTGGCCCATGGGAGACCATTTTTGTAACCTGTGCACCTTTTTTTAATACAAAGTTAACAGTTAAAAAAAAATGTCCTTCAGATATGTGTTTATTGCCATAGTCCTCCTTTTTTTTTATTATTTTTTTAAAGGTTAAGTTTTAGAAACAACAATTCAACTCTTTTTGGAGTGGTTATATCAGTAAAGCATATGGTTTTAATCAAGCTAGGAACCGATGAAACACTTAAAATGTATTTCTTGCTAACAAATAAAATGAAACGTTTTTAATAATCACCGGCACATGCATGAATTTTGTAATATGTAATTGATAATCATTTTATGTATAATCTCATTAAAATATCATGGCACCGAACCCAGGGTTTGGGCACCTTAGAGCTTGGAGGTTTCTCTTCTTAGATACTGCATGACTTGAGAGCTGAGACTAGGGGGTACCTCTACTCGACCAGTGATCCTAACAATTTTTTCCATTTCATAACTTCAAACTAATGGCACGCTCTGCTCAACTGTTTTAAGGATCTAGAGCAATTCTCTCTGCATTTAATTTGATCTTCATTTAATCTGCATGATGTCTTTATGTTCCTTGGTTGCCAATCTACCTTGTCCCAGATGAATGACTTATCAAGCAATCTATTAACTTTGCGGTGTTTCTTTTGACCAGTATCCATGAACAGTTCCTATGAAAAGGAAGACAGAATACATGAACTGCCACTGCTCACTCAGTATTGGTATCACAATAATTGGTATTAGAGATTAATCATTGAGCCTAAAAGTCGAGGTTAATTGGGGGCATAAGATACAATGGTGTGAAGTAGGATACGATTGAAAATGAGTACATAAAAAGTTTCTTGTAAAATGAATTTAGTCAAAGCTTATTTTATTAGTATTCGTGGCATCTAGTCTTGCTTTCATATGTTGTGTCTATTATCAATTCCTTTAATGCTCCAGTTAGAGCTTGGAGCATTTCGATTGCTCTTGATTTCTTAAATCATGAAATGCATGGGCCAGAATCATGAGTGGTCATCAGGTATCTGTAAATTTTCCTGTCATATTTTGTCCGGGATGGAGAAAAGCATGTCCATAACTAGAGGTGGTAATGTGGGATCCTTACAAAGTTCATCAGATAGTAAAGAAGTCGTATGCTCTATGACAAAGAACTTACAAGAAATCATTAATGTTTCTTATATATAGAAATTTGCATCGCTGCTGCACTGCAGATCATACACTATACTAATGCGACTTTGGAGTGGGACCTTCTATAAGAAATTGGCAATGAGGTGGACCAACATGGATGGTATGTTTTCTTAAGAGAATACACATGGTATGTTGCACCATGAAGCATGGAGCTTTTCCATATCTATCACTTGTAACTTTACGCAGTAAAGGAAGATAAATCTGCATCACATTTATTTGTTGAGCTTCTAGGTTAGAGATAGAGACCAGATGCAAAACATAGGACGATGATATACTTTTAGGCAGCAATTGATGGAAACTAAACCACTAAGAAGGGGAAAAGAATACTAGCACAGTATTTAGAAGAGTAAAGTTATAGTGAAGACCGATTCAACGTCCACAGATTTGTAAAAGTTGCTCAGGCATTGTGATGAATGCATTTCAAAAGTCAAAATGAAGGGAAGCATGAATCAGGAAATAATTACTAACCAATGTGAACAAAGTCAGGGGTCAAGACAAAGGGATGTATGAATCAAGTAACAAATACTAAACTGATCAACCACATGGAAATGAATTTGAACAGCGTCCTCAACCTAAGAAAACAATTCACGAGGATGGGCCATTTCAAATGGTACCAATAAAAAGTGGAATACCAATCAGCCAAAAGGAAAGGTATATGAGCAGCTAACCTGAGATTTGGACCAGGACAGATCAAGCACGTCATCTAAGTGGCCTTGGAAGGAGCAAACAGGCTTCTCCGACAGCATAAACACATTCTCAGGAACCACAACATGCTCCGAGTTTGCATACTTCCTGTTGTTGGCATAGACCCTTCCTCTCTTTGTCATCCTGTCTGCCTGGTTGTCTGCTGTATTCAATGACACCAATGTGTTTGTCGGATCAGGTGAACCATTGAGGTAGAAGCAAGGATTAGTTTCTTCGTTCCTATCAGAGGAGAAGGGCTCCATCATGACCTGCCAAATATGAATGACACGGTCCTCACCAGCACTGGCGAGGTATCTACCATCAAGGCTGAACTTAATGGTCCAGATGGATCCCTTGTGGGCCTGTATCTCTTGGTTCATGTAGAGGGCAGTCAGCTCCTTGCAAGACTTCCCGTACTGCCGAACCCTGGTCCTCTCGTAGGTGTGACAAGAGGCATCCTGGCTGTCATCGGTGGCAGAGCTCGACCTCCTCCCTCCCCCTCCTTTCTCTGAACAAGTGTCCCTCTCATCGCTGCTCCTTCTATCCCGACTGCTGCCTCCACCCCCACCAGCCATAGTGGCAGCAGCAACCTTTAGGCTTTTCAACCAGCCCCCTCCTCTCTTCTTTGAGGACGAGGAGGATGAGGGCTTTGACCAGCTCTTCCTGCAAGGATCAAGGTTGAGGTTGAAGCCAAGAAGGCCCCCCTTGTTGTTGTTGCAGTTGTTCGTGAGTTCTATGCCCTCGCGGCGCATAAGCTCCTGAACGATGGGAGAGTGGCCAACACACATCTCGAATTCCTCCATGGTGAGCTGCCTCCCCGTTCCCACCTCCCTGAGCTTGTCCCATGTCCCATCTTCCCTGAATTCATTCACTATGAACTCCTTGCCATTGTCCAAATTCTTGATCTTGCACACTGCTGATGCTGCATCAGTATCTCGGTCGTCGTCGTCGTCGTCATCATCATCATCATCCATCCCCTGAAATTCACAAGAGGAACGGGTGCCTCCTCGGTGCCCCTTGCCATTCACAGCATGCCTTTGCGGACAAACTGCTGCTTCGACATCTCCGTTGTTAGGAAGGGAGCAGGTGGTCCCACCATCAGACCTGGATCGGGCGATGCCAGGAGGAACATTGGCTGCTGTGGTGGAGATATGGTCGCAGGAGGCCCAAGGGCACCCCAGCATTGCGACTGTTGCTGCTGCTGCAGCGGGTCTACTACTTGATTTACAATGGGAAGCATCTTTGCGATTCTCCTCTTCCTCCAAGGGCGGAGGGGCACGGCCACTGGTGGAACACTCAGAAGCGGTCATTTGCCTCCGAGATGTTTCAGTGGGGATGGAAGAAGAATTGGCGGAGGTGTTGACGACGGAGGCAAGCCTGGTTAGGGCCCGGTCATGGCTGAGCCCCATCTCTTGAAGGAGGCGCATGCGCCGCTCCCCAACGGGTGCGGGCTCTGTCATCCACACCTCATACTGCGACATCACCATTGTTGTTGCAGGATTTGCCGAGGGTGTGAAGAGGAGAGAGTCGTCTTCTGTCTCGGATCCAGAAGCAGAGGACGAAGGGATTCGATCTAATGACTCGAAGAAGCGATCCTCCTCCTCCTCCTCTTCCTCCTCCTCCTCATCTTCATCATCCTGCTCTCCTTTGGTGCGATGGGTCATGGTTCCTCCTCCTACTCCCAAGATTCACCATTCCCCGGGAGACCACGTCCACGATTCATCCTCCATCGATTTCATACTGCCCACGGCCCGGATCTCAATTCAACTCAACTCAACTCGAGAGAGAGAGAGGGGAATTGGAATTGGAATTGGAATTGGAAGTGGGTGGGAAGCCCAACAACAAACAAACCCAATTGGGATTACTGCTTTTGCAGCAGCAGCAACAACGACAAGTGTTGTTTTTGTAGATCCGATCCAATTGCTACTCTGATGAATGATTGGACAGACGGACAGACTTCTCTTCTTCCAACCAAAATTATTTATTCATTCATGCTTCCCTCCCTATTTATATCTATCAATGCTCTAAATCCTTCGTCCTTTCCTCTTCTTTTTCCTTTGATTATTACACCTTTCAACTCCTCCTCACACCAAACATCACCCATTCATTTTACTCATTTAATATTGGATAAAGTTTTATAAGGATGCAACCTAATAATCTACAAAGCACCTCAAACATACTTTTAATATTGAAAAACCCTTTGATTCAACATGTATCACCATCAAAAATAAAAAGATTTTAAGTCTCACAAATAATAGTCCAATTTCTCTGCCCATTTTCATAAGTTTATAGATCTACTTGATTTTAACCATTTTTCAAATTTAAAATTTTATTATTAGATATAAAAATGGATTTTGAGATAATCCTAATAATATTTTACATCAAAATTATATACCATAATAAATTTTGAAGGTGCACCTTACCTCTATACCTATGGATGCATCTGTATGCCAACTGCACCCTTTAATATTTACGCCTGCCAATTTTTAGGGCTGTGGTATGTATAAATTTGCAACATTAAACAATCAAAATATGGTGCACTACCAAATTTTATTATGAGATGCAATTTTCGCTTTAAAAAATCTTAGGATGCCTAGAATCCATTTTTATCTTTAATTAAAAAAATTTAGACTTTACAAATGGTTCGAATTAAGTAGATCCATTATAGACACATGAAAATATTGAAAATGGATGATTCAGATAATGTATTGCTTGATGCACTATTTTTGGGACTCAAAATCTTTGTTTTTTTTATGTTTATTTTCACACATCTCTATGTTGAAATAATCAGTTAGAGGGTTTTTCAACTTTCTATATTGAAATAATCAATTAGAGGGTTTTTCAATATCAAAACAACCTTTTACAGTGGATTTTTCATTTCTATTTCCATCAGGCTATACAGTGGATTTTTCATTTCTATTTCCATCAGGCTATTTGTTATGTTATTTCTCCTGCATCTATGTAGCTATGCTTTTGTTTGATTAATAAAGTTACGTGCTCTTGTCAAAAAAAAAAAAAACGGGGTAGGATGGAGATAAGTCCAATGGTCAAATTGGGCCCAAATGAACTTGACCTTCGTTGGAGATAGGCCAGGTGCTCCAAACATACCAACTCACTCAAGCCTGGGGTGGCCTTAGTAAATCATTAGTGCACTTTCTAATCGCATGATAATAATCCAATTTGGCCAGGTCTAACCCTGACAATTATAAAAAGAAGACCTCAACCCGGCCCAACTCACCCCTCAAATGCACCTAGGTCCAGGTTCATTGCCACTTGGACAAAAATAGGTGGTTGATGCTGGAGCATTTGAGTAAATGTGTGTGTGTGGCATTAAAAAATTGGTAATAATAGTAATAGATTTATTAGTAATAAAGAAAGAAAGAGGGAGGGAGGGAGGGGGCAAAGGGAGAGAAGGCCAACAGGCCGCGTGGCCTCCACACTATTCGATTCCCCAACAGCCTGTTCCCGCCACCCACCATCATCAACTAAACTATATATAATATATATAAAAAAAGTTTATATATAGAAAAAGTTTATATACAAACCTCACCCTATATATATAGGTTTTTGGAAACTAAACAAAAGAAGAAAAAATTAAGATGGTTCCTTATTATTATTATTATATATTTCTTATTACTATTATTATCAGGAGCACCACATGACTGCTGCACCCTCCGATCCATCATCGTACATTCCAGTTCATTAAATTTAAAAGGAAAAAAATCAAGATTGCATAATGAAGCCGATGCGAAGGAAGCAGCATAAGGTATTTCTCAATGTAGTATAAATAAAGCTCTAATCGTATTATTGATGAAAATAGAATCCTAATCTTCAAACTCGTTTTTTCACCGGTGTTACCCCGGCATCCTTCCAAGGGCCTTGTGTCGCATGTCAATACTTGTCACATATGAGACGGGTATATTTTTGTGCATCTAATACATGTCGACGCCTCCAATAAAAGTGTCGGAATTACATTCATTTCAAGGTGAACACAACTGGATTTTGACGTGGATTGAATGTGGCCCTCCCTTATAATAGAATCAATGATGAAGTTTTTTCTAGCCTATTTGTACTGTTGGAAGAGTTGAATCATATTTACATCCCTCGGAATTTCCCTGATGAGATTATTTGGGAGATTGAAGATGATTCATGTTGTTAGTTTATGGAAATAGCCTATACCTCATAAAGATCAACTTTTTTTTTCTGGTTGGCTACCCAAACAAGATTCTTAGTATTGATAATATTATTAATAGGGCAAAATTTTGCCTAATGTTTGTTTGATGTGTAAGGTAGATGGAGAATCACGGACACATCCTTTTTTGCACTGAGAGTTTGTTTCAAGAATATGGTCATGGTCTTTCATACAACTTGGTGTGACGATGGTTATGCCCCAAAGTGTGTTGGGTATTGCCACTCATGTGTTTCGAAGGCTGGTAACACAATATGGAAAATTACTAGAGGTGTGATTTTGTTGGAGGTGTGGAAAGAAAGAAACAAGAGAACATTGAAAACCCAGTCAGAATTACGCTAATCCTTGAGAGGGACCAGATTTTGAGTGAGTCTTTATTTTCTTTAATTCGTTTTAGTGCGTCTTTTCACACCAATTGACAACTAATTGATGTAAAAATATTCCAATACTTGACTACATGAGAGAATTTTTTGTTATGGATTTGAGTGATTTGATGTTGGCTCTGCAAAAGGTTTTAAGAGATGATTGATCTTTCGAGATCAGGATCTTTCTATGAACCATAATTTTAACATACCCCACCATTCTTTACTGATCTTTGATTTAATGGTTTAAAACATAAATTTGAGGAGTTTTCATTTGAGATATCTTTAGATTTGCAGTGTAAATAGATTGGTGCCCTCCATGGGGCACGTCAAGCTTAAGATAACTTCAAAAAATCCATCAAAAAACCACCTTGGAAGTCTATTTTAGGGCTGACTTTTTACAAGTTAGAAATCCCAAATTTTGCACAAGAAAAATATGTTGATTTTAGGAGGGTCCAGGAGCTGATGATGTAATCTGCCTCATTCTAGAGAGAAGGGCCTACCTAACTCGAAACGAGCACGCACGGTGCATCATCTGCAGCAAATGACGCATACTGCATCGTTTCCCTAAACCTTCATTCGAACCCTATTTTCACCCTCTGGTGACTGTTCCAGAGGGAGGGCTTATGCCCCCCCTATTCCGTTACTTTCACTTCCATTTGCCTTGATTTAGTTTTGATTTTCTCTTTTTCCTAATTGGTGGCCTGCATGTTTGTGCCACATTTTTTACGCTCTTGCAACCGTGCTATTTACCACACCCATTGCACGCCCTGATTGGGAAACTCAAAAACCCCTAAATTCGGCATTCATGCTAAGAGAGGCGACTAGCTTTTGGGAGTCAGTACATTTGGGATCATGTAACTTTAACTATAAGCGCCTTTATGCAATTCCATGGCCTAAAAGCTACTCATGTATAGAAAGACCTAGTTGATTCATTTAGTAGGTTGTCGAGACTTTTGTGGTTATTACCTATTCAAACCTACCTGTTTAGAGATTTTATTGCTAGGAAACTCACATGAGCCTAACTTACCTATAGAAAACTAGGCCGAATCTTTTCAAACTTGATTAGCCTAATCTTGGTTAGGTTTGTCTGTGTTTAGTCTAGTCTACCTAAGTTTGGTCTAACCTTCTAGTTCAACATAGTCAAGCAGTCATGCCTCATGACCAAGCCAAGGTAGGGCCCGACCCTATGACCTCAGTCCAAGTTAGGGTTAGGGCACTAGGTCAAAAATATGAGGGGCACCACCAAGGTGCTCCTCAAACCCATAGTATCCATGTAGGTGACTCCAGTCTCAAACCACATGGACTCATACCCAGCAGTCCAAGTTTCTAAACCGGTGGTCCTCAAAACCATCTTTTAGAAACCATAGACCGCCAAGTCAAAAGGACCCCAATACCCTAAATAGTCAGGTGCTAGGGGCAATCCTTCAAGACATGGGGATTAGCCTCAAGCCTAGTTGGCGTGGCCAAGGTAAGGCACATGTTCAAACCCCTTAAATCCTTGGGCCATCCAACCCTAGTCGGGTTAAATCTGGTGGTCAATCATCTAACCCTAATGATCAGCTGGTCAAGGGTCAAGTAGGTTGAACCTCAAATAGGCCTAGGGATAGCTCACATGCCCATGCTAATAGTAACTGAAGCCAAGGTCCTAGCCTGAGTCAACAGCAAACAAGTCCCGGGGTGCAGTCATTCCTGCAAGATATGTTCTACCATCCAACCTAGTCGGCGTAGGCTGGGTGGGTCAGAAGTTCAGACCCTAAATCACCTAGCTGGCTCGAACCATGTTAACCCTAGGAGCCAACAAACAGCTACAAAACTAAACCATGAGCCACCTACAAGGAGTAGGGTGTCTAGCAATGGGTTTGGCTCTAGCCCTCAGCACTATAGTCCAAGCTTACCTCGTGGGTTTACACCATCTAGTAGTAGTTATGTGCTTTGCACCCTCTTTTAGCTTAATAATGTGGGAAGGGGCGGTCCGTATTTTTGTTATCACGTAGCCAAGGTCAGGGGCACCAGGGCCTAGCTAATCAAGGCCAAATCTCGAGCCACCTTAGCAGTATAGGGGTCCATCCCAATCATCATTAAATACCTCATTTTACAAACCTTCTTTCAAAACTCGGTAAGTCAGTGCAAGCCCAGCCAAGCTTAGCCAAATGACCTAGAGAGAAACAACAAAGCAGCTCAACATCCTTGTTAGTTTTTCAGTTCGTTGTCCCACAAAAAAAGAAAACCAAGACACAAAATCCCCTATATTCCAGTGAGAAACCTTAATTATAAGTTTACTTTGTTTTTCCATTGTATATTTCTTTCACCAAATGTAGCACTCTCCTAATGGAGCTAGAATTCTGCAACGGGGGGTGCTCTGTTCTGATGACATCTTCCTGTCAGCTAATGAAGCTGAGTTCAAGGCATCAAATGCATTCAATAGCAACATCAAAAGATAGTTATAGAGGGGGGTTCAAGCAATGTCATTCACTGGTGCATTTGGAGATCACTTCCATTGCTTGATGAAGTGAGATATG